TATATGACATTTGCTTTTCTTCATCCAAGGAGTGTACATTCATCCAGATCCCCACTTTTTTACTGAGTCTTTCTATTTGGAGCTTATTATTATTCTATGTCTTAACATGTTCCACATAGAGGTTCTTTGCCTGTGGCATAGCTTATGTTTTTCCTACACTGTTTTCTCTGTTGGTTCTTACTGATGTACAAATATGTTTTAATAAGATGGGATCCAGTTGTTCATACTTTGAGGTATTTCTAGTTCAGTTTCACTTTGTTCAATTATGATAATTTCCCTACAGATGACATCAATGGAAATTGTGTTCTGCATAGATTTTATCCTTCTCACATCTCCATGCATTGTGTAACCCCAGGATTCTGGAGATCCCATTGAGTTTAATTAAGGAGACATAGAGATGTCTCCTCTTGCGTCATTGCAAATTAATGGTACACTATTACACACTATGGTTCAAATATAGGAGTGACCAAAGATTTTGCCCATATCTTTGAGATTGTTTGTCTATATTAGTAGTAACTTAAATGTTTTTGTAACAGTAGACATAACGTACTTCAGTCATGACAGAAGAGTGCTTCAATTTTAATCAGTCTTTAGGGAGTCCTAAATTCAACAATGCTGTATGAGATCAGGTAACTATAACTGATTGGAAATCCAAATATTCTAAAATCCTTAAAATAGTTTTCATTTTTATTTTACATATGTTTCTCATCTTTTCATGATTCCTTTTCCCACAAAACTTATCTTTTATACCTTATTTAAGACATTTAATACTTGTTTTGCTTATTTAATACTTTTTTGTTTTAAGGACAAATTTTGCCCAAAATAAGGATTTTTAATTCTAAAGCAGATTCAGATTTCTTGAGCTAATAGAATATGTAAAGCATGGCAAGTATTTTAAAAGTGTTTATTTTATTCATTTATTTATTTGTTTATTTGTTTATTGGTACTGGAGATTGAACTCAGAACCCTGTGCTTTCCAGGCAAGCACTTACTCTACTGAGTTATCTCCTTGGCCCAAAGTAATTTTATTCTGAATGTCTGATGAATCCACTTTCCTGCCATCACAGGAGGAATTGGCCATTGGAAATATTCTCAGATGGAAACAAAGGTACATGTATTTGCTTTCTCTCTACAGAGAGATGACATCAGGTCATGGAGCTGTTATCATTTAAGTCAAAGCAAAGCATGAGAGTACAGAATATGAAATTAATGACTCTGTCCTTGCCAGAGTCTGTGGAAGGTTATTTACTTGTATGATTCTAAGCTAGACTGTTCACAATGCACCATGTTGACATTGGAACACAAAGACTTTTAGAAGCTTGGTGTGATTCTGGTAGTTATGTTGTAGGGTCCTTTGGAATAAGTGTATATATTGATTCCAATCTTGAAAACTCCTCTTGCCTATTTCAAAATTATAAAAACGTACAATAAATGTTCCTCTTCTAATATCAGTATTCTCACAGGAGAGTTGCACTGTAACTACTTCGATGATAATTGATGAGCAGGTGCTCGTGAATTCTTGTTATGGTCAGAGGATCTCTCTTCTGCACACTGTTCAGAATCTCAAAAGTTAATGTAAAATTAAAGACTGAGTTAGAGAACACAATATGATAATACTTGATTCAGAAAGCTTTCTGGTTAATTTAAAAAAAATTATATGTAGTAACATGGGGCCATAAAGGTGGATCAACAGAATAAGTGCTTCCCTGGAAAGCACAAGGGGCTGAGTTCAATCCCGTTCAAAAAAAAAAAAACAGTAAGAGAAAAATATCATATTCAATTTGGGCTTAAGTGACAATTTGTATAATATGAGCTGAAGATTGAATTTGGATTCTGGCTTGGAAGAGAAGTGGGGTATAAGGGTAGGATTTTTAAACATAAAAACAGACTGTGTACATATGCTAAAGGAATCCTGCAATACAGGAAGGAAAATAAGGATGAGGAAATGGAGGGAAAAATTGGAAAAGCAGTGTAAAAAATTAATAAAGAAGATAAAATAAAAAGCATGAACAGAGACATGGGCAATAGATATGAAGATACTCTATCTGTGAAGAAGCAAGGAATAACATGAGTCAAAGAGAAATAGATGTCACAGAGATTTAGAGAACAACTTTCATTACTATGATTATTTTTAAATTAATATTTTGCTAGTGAATATGATCCAATTAGAGATTTCTTCCTCTGTATGCAATGTACATGTCTCTGCTTCTCATACTCATTGTACTGATCTTTTATTTTCTCTTTTCTTCCTTCCCTGATCTGCCCTAAAGTCTCCTTTCTTCCCATTCCCTGACCTCACTTCTCCTCCATCCTGAAATTTTCTCCTGTCTCTCTTCCTCACTAAGCTGCTTTTGCTTATGGATTGATTATATACATTTGTACACTCTTAAAATATTCTGCCATTTTCAGTGTGCCAATCTGAGATTTCAGTGAGTTGAAAAGTTTCTTCAGTTCTAACAACATATAAAATTAAATGTACTTTGTTACTTAGAAGTAATTGTAAAATAAGTCTTTCTGTTGTTTTATATAAAATGTCGAATGTTATTTTTCATTATGGTGTCAACTCTGTATCCTTCCATTACCTTATATACAAAGAGTTAACTATGGGAGACTTCTTTTTCTTTCATAGGCACATGAGTCTAATTTCTTCTGTGTTGATTTCACTATCAGAGCCCCATAGTTAGGCTCTCTGTTTCATCAAATTTGAATCTTCATAATCTCTGAAAGATAATGAACCAAATATTAGTAATGTTTATTTAAGGAATGAGTAGGCTTAATTTTTTCTGACTTGCTAATAATAAATATGTTTGTAGATAATTTTCTTCTGAGCAGAGGCACACACAGTACAACATATGGAACAAAGGAACAACGTGACTGAGTTTATTCTATTAGGACTCACTCAGAGCCTCCAGAGCCAGAAAATATTATTTGTTGTGTTCCTGCTGATCTACGTGGTGACCATGGCAGGAAACCTACTCATCGTTGTCACCGTGGTGCTCAGCCCAGCCTTGGATGCCCCGATGTTCTTCTTCCTTGGCAACTTATCATTTATGGATCTTGCTTATACCAACACAGCTACGCCAACTTTGCTGATAGACTTGCTCTTCGTGAAGAAAACCATTACCTTCCAAGCTTGCATGGCTCAACTTTTTCTACAACATTTTTTTGGTGGCGCTGAAATAACACTCTTGGTAGTCATGGCTTATGACCGTTACGTAGCCATCTGCAAACCCCTTCATTATCTGACCGTTATGAACCACAGGATGTGTTTGCTGCTGCTGCTGTTGGCCTGGGTTGGGGGGTTTGTGCATGCTATACAGCAAATCCTTTCTGTTTATGACCTTCCCTTCTGTGGTCCCAATGTCATCGACCACTTCATCTGTGACATGTACCCCTTACTGAACCTTGTCTGCACTGACACTTACTATATTGGGCTCAGTGTCCTGGCAAATGATGGAGTGATGTGTATAGTTATTTTTATGCTCTTGTTAATCTCTTATGTGGTTATTCTGCACTCCCTGAAGAACCTGAGTCAGAAAGGGAAACACAAAGCCTTATCCACCTGTGGCTCCCACATCACAGTGGTGATTCTCTTCTTTGTCCCTTGTATAATACTTTTTGTGAGACCTCCATTTACCTTGCCCACTGATAAATACTTAGCTGTTTTTTATGCTGTTATCACTCCTATGCTGAACCCTATCATCTATACTCTGAGAAATGTAGAGATCAAAAATTCTATGAAGAATCTCTGGACTAGAAAATAAAACTGAAGTGACAGAAAATTGTACAATTTGTGTTCTGTGAGGAGAGATGCTTAGGCAAAGAAGTCACATGTGGTTATATCATTCAATTAATATCCCTTCCAGTTAAATAAAAATATGTGATTGTAAACATTTATTATGTGAGTTTCTCCAATAAGGAACATACATTTTTGAGAGTATTAGGTCTTCAGAGGCATCTGGTGGCCTTCCTGTGCCTCAGGTACTGTTCCAACTTTACTACCAAAGGTAGCTCTAAGCAGCAGTCCAGGAGGATCTGCTCCTGCAGAATTTTATCTGCATCCTCTAGAGTCTTTTGCAGTCTTCCGTGGGATGTATCCATTAGTTTTATGACCCTTATCTGGTTATTTTCATATAATTGGCATATACATATTATTCTGTCTTCTGTAGTCTATACTGTTTTAACTTTTGTTAAAACTTACTTGGTAGTCTTTCTGAACAAGATTGAGAAATTTTTCTCAAATGTAAATTAGCCAAATGATGGAGGACTCTGTTTCTAAAGAAGTTGCTCAAAAGCTTTCTAAAGTCAATAAAGGGCTGGAGAGATGGCTCAGTGGTCTAAAGCACCTACTTAGAACAAGCTTAGCAAAGCATCAGGGACCGCGGTTCGATCCCCCAGCACCACATGCCAGCCAGCCCCGCCCCCTGGTGGGCTGAGCTGGTCTCTCTCTCTCTCTCTCTCTCTCTCTCTCTCTCTCATAAATAAATAAATAAAATTAAAAAAAATAAAGTCAATAAAGAGAAATGTGTAATATGGATTAAAAAGATAGAAGCTTGCAGAAGAATGGCATTGCTAATTATAAAACTCAAACATATTTTATGTTCTGGAACAACACTCTGTTCCTAGTCTTGGTCATTGTGTATTCCTTCTTTGTAGGAAAAACTAATCCAAAGGAAACATCCTGTCTGTAATTGAGCAATCAGGACTCATCTCCCTCCTATCACTTAGCTCAAAGGAGACCATGTGAGCTCAGCCACATTCCTTTTCAACTATGGGTAACCTCAGTATTTGCAAAAGAAGTAGGCTGCTGAGCATGAGCTAGACACAAGATGATTTTTATGTCTGGAGTTTGAGGATTTTTTTTTTAAAGTAACAAAATTAAATCCACTATTTGTTTATCAGCTTTTTGTGATGGATATTTATAATTACATGAATTGAATGGGAAACAGGATATCAGAACACGTATTAAAAGATGAATAGTCATTATATGACATAGTCACAGGAAGAAAAAATCACATTTTTCTTGGATCAAGGAGAAGTCATCATAACCTGTGATGAGCTATTATTTATTATAACAGTAAAAAGGAGATAACTTGTTCTCATTATTTGAGGAACTATATTACAGCTGTTTTTGGCTTATAAAATTGGAATGAAATCTTTCTTTGAAAGGATTGGCCAACAGCCTCATGTTCACAAATATCTGGATTTGTGAGTGAAGCCCTCCATTTCTGTAAAGAACAAAATGTAGAGCCAACAGTAGTGACCAGTGCTGTGTGACAGGCAATGGGGATTTAAGTCCACAGTGTATTCAACTTGGGTTGAAGAGTTTACTTTTACCCTGCCTACTAATTTAACTAATGGGACTCATTATTTACTGGGACCATGTTATCACACCACTGGAAGAATGTTATGTAAATAAGAAAAAAAAACTCCTTTCTTAGAAGCAATACAACACTTTCAACTATTCTGGATGGGGGACTCTGGTCAGATTTCAGAAGGCCAGAATGCTGATAGAAAACCTGCAAATAAATACCAGGCATGGGGAATTTCTTCTGGGAAAGTCTGCATTGAAACTGGACTCCAAATGGTGTGATTTTGGGAGAAAGACTGTTTACATTTTTCCTATGTACAGAGTCTTTGACTGAGACCAAGATTAAATGAAATGGACTAACTAATCTAGCAGAAGAAATTTCAAGGCAGGTGAATATTGTGGTATGGCATGGCTATTGTTTGGGGCTTTGGTCAGATCTGTGATGACAATCAAGAGCAAAGAGCCTAGAAAAGTAATTTAAAATGTTGTGAGTTTGTCCAGGATGGGAGTCTAGTAAAGCTTTGTACTGCAGAGATTGAGATGAGGAGATCTTGATTGCTGGAATGGAACAGGAAAATCGAGAGCATCACAAAAAGAACTGAAGCTCCACTCTTTGCAGCCTGAAAAGTTCAAAACTGAAAGGCTTGCTTTGAGGACAAAGCTGTACAGAACCAGTTTCCAGAATGGTATCAGCATAGAAAATGTGTTCCTTGAAACTGGGTGTGGTGGCACATGCCTATATTCCCCCACTTGGGAGGCTGAAAACAGGAGGATCACTATGAGTGTGAATTGTGTAGTAAGACCCTGTAAACCCTGTACTAAGTAAATTAATAGAGAAAATTTGTTCCTCAGAATCAGGTTCAGAATGCTGAGTGATCCAGGCATTCAACCCCTACATCCAAGAGAGAATAAAATTTGGCTACTGCTCCAACTGGCAAAAGGATTTGGCGTTTTCCATATGTAGTTCTGGTCTTAGGAATGTGAGTAATGCAAAAGTTCTCAGGTTAAGAAGGCTTGTGCCATCATTTTATAAGGCCAGGGAGGCCAGTGAGTGTACCTCTGTGATGGCAGTGTGTGAAGTTATGAGAGAGAAGCCTAATAAGCAGTGGAGACTTAGAAGTTTGGAAAAACCTGGAACATGGATCCTCTAAGGAAAGTTGCAATGAGGGAGCAAGGCAGACCTAAGAGATAAGCCATGGAATCTATAACCACCAATAGTGCCAAAGAAGTGGATCCACAGGAAGCTCACAGTTTGCCACAGATTGTACCTGATGTTGAATGTGGAAATACAAGGCTTAAATATTGCCTTGCTGTGTTTTGGACTTACTTTGGTCCCAATTCTTTCTATGTCCCTATTTATGCCTTTTGAAATCATAATGTTTCTTTTGTGCCACTGAATGTTGGAAGTGTTTATCTTTTCACTTGTACAAGTGCTCACAGCTAAATGTTTCCCTTAAATCTCCAAAGATATTTGCAAGTTGGACTTTTCATCAATGCTAAAACTGTTAGGAAATCGACTCTTATAGTTGCAATAAAATGTCTTTTATATAGAGGAAACTGCACCACTCTTGGGAGGAGATGGGGTCAGAATGTTATAATTGGTGTCTAGATGTCTCTGCAAAGCCTCTTGCAGTCATAGGGCAAGATTCTAGAGTTTTTTTATTGATTCATAGTCCAATTCTGGGAATATGGGGTCTGAGAGCTACATTGGCCCTGGGGAAATAAACCTGCATACAGTATAAGGGATGGAAAGAAGCCTGGTCTTCCTGCATGCCCCAACCTTTTTGTTCTTGTTGCTTTTGCTATTTTCCACTTCCTTGAACTATTGTCCTCAGTGTGCCACCCTATTTTCATTCTAGCTGATTATGCACTGGATCCTCCCTAAACTGAACTAAATAAAGCCTTCCTTCCCTAATTTTGGGGGTCTATTTCGTCCCAGCAATGAGAAAAGCAACCATGACAGTAAACTACATGTTGTTATCTTCAAAATAGTTGCTCAGATTACAAGATATAGGAAAGAAAGACTAAACAAACAATGTAAGCACAACCAGTACTTTTTAGTGAACTAATGGAAATTAGTATTGTATTTACCTTAGTTATCTTGTACCTTAAATATCTTTCCCTTTATTCTTTTGTCCTTTTCCTCAACCAGGTCATGCATTCCTTTTCTGCAGTTTCTTTTCTTTTAATAGTATCAATTTCACATTTTGAATATTATTTTCTGTTCCAGTTCCTTACACTGGGGGGACCTGTGAGAATGATTTATTTCATTTATGAATATGGTCTCAAGTTGCATTCATTTTCCTAGAAAAGTCTCAAATTGATCCTTCTTATAGCTGAGTGGTATGCTGTCATGTAAAAATATCATATTTTTTCTTCATCCCTTGTTTGATCGATATTGGGTGTGTTTCTAACATTTAGCTATTATAAATTGTGCTACTATAAACATGGGTGTACGTGAATTGCTATCACATGATGCTGTTGAATCTTCTAGGAAAATGTCTGGAAGGAGACTAGTTGAGTTGAATGATATCTCTAATTCTAGGGCTTTTTTTTTGGGGGGGGGAGAAACTGGAGATTGAACTCAGACCCTTGCACCTGCCAGAAAAGTGCTTATTCTAATGAGCCATCTCCCTGGCCCTGTAATTCTGGTGTTTTGAGAAATCACCACACTAGTTTTCATGGAAATTATACCAGTGTATAGTCTAACCAATATTTAAGAGTTCCTTTTTAACCCCAGCCATGCCAACAAGGGTTATTGGTTTATTTCTTGATGTTATCTATTTCTTTCTTGAGTTAGCTAAAATCTCACTGTTGTTTTAGTTGACCTTTCTTGAATGACCAATGATATTGAAAATTTTTTCATTTATTTTCCATTGTATTTCTCCATCTGAGAAACATATTCATCTCAGATGCTGCTTTTCTTATTTGTTCTTTGAATTTGTGCAGTCTGATTTTATTAGATATCTATATGTTCTAGATAGAAAACATTTTCTGAGAGACAGTTGGAAATTTTTTTTCAAACTCTGTATATTCTTTTATTTTGTTGGTGATTACTTTTCATGTGAAAAACATTTCAATGAGATGAGATTCCAGTTTTTTATTTTCTCAAATACTACCTATACAGTTCGGGTTTTGTTCTAGAATTGTGTCTACCCATAAAGCTTCAAGATTTCTACCTACTTTGTCTTATTTCAATCTTTTCCATGTAGAACATATTTTTGTGCATAGTGATAGACATAGGTCGAATTTTATCCTTTGCCATGCATTAAGGCAGTTCTGTTTTCCATTTATTGAAGAAGTTATCTTTATTTCTGGAAACTATTTGACCGCTTTGTCAAAGTCAAAGATAAGTTGGCTAAGTGTCTTTGTAATTGTGTCAACATCTTTAAATCTGTTCTAATGAAACTCAGCACTTTTTTTCCCTCAATATCTTTCTAATATTATCATAGA